GGGGGGTGTTGCTAGAGGCGGCTGTGGAGGTTGGAGTGGTTTGCACTGTGGAGGTTGGAGTAGTTTGCACTGTGGGGGTTGGAGTGGTTTGCATGTTGGTGACGACCGTGATGGGGGGGGTGGTCCCTTCGAGCGTGGTGACGCGGTCGCATAAAGATGACACGTTGGCCTTTATGTCGTCGAGACAGGCGGTAACGGAGGTTTGGAAGGTGTTGAGTGCGTGGAGGATGGCAGAGAGGTCGGGGGTGGCGGTGTTTGCCGGTGGTTGTTCGCCGGCGAGGTTGCGGGCGATGCTATCGACTGAGTCGGTGCGGATGTCAGACATGTTGATGGAGGATGTGGCCATGTCGGGGGAAGAGGGGGTGGAGGATGTGGCCTGAACGGGGGTGGAAGATGCAGCAGCAGCGGTGGTGTCGGCGGCGGTACGTTGGGAGTTCTTGGTTCGGCGTGGTGGCATGTGGAGGGGGGGGGGGAATCCCTTATTTATCAATAAATTCAAAAATAAAGATAATCGCCAAGTTTTTCTTCAAAAAAAATAATAATAATAAAATAAATAAATAAATAAATAAATAAAAATAAAATAAAATAAACGCTGAACAGAAAGAGATAATTAATTTTGAAAAACTAAATTCTGATTTAGATTTAAATTTATCTACAAGAAAACGTGAAATTTCGAATAAAAATAGTTTCGAATTACGGGGAAAAAATAATAATAATAATAATAATAATAATAATAATTCTGAAAAGAATTAGGAAGAGGATATTTTTAAAATATTTGGCAAGAATTTTTCAAATGGAAATGTCGACATTTCGAAAAAAGGATAATTAATTTCGAATAAAGAGATTAATTCAGTCGTGAATTAATTGAATTTAGTCGAAATTAATTGAGGGGTTTAGAATAACATTTTTAAAAGAAAGTAGTTCCGAATTTAAAAAAAAAAGTTTCGAATGTCAACAAAAATTGCGAAAAGAAATTGTGAATTAAAATACTGGGAAAAAGAATTAATTAGAATTATATTTGGAAAAAAAATAATTAATTCTAACGTATTTTCAAAATTTTCGAAAAAAATAAAAATAAAAATAAAAATTAAGTAGAAATGTTTTGAAAAAGAAATG